TAATTGACTAATATTCTTTAAATAATAGCACCACAAATTTCAATATACAACGTGTGGCCCTATATATGTTGAAATTATCCAACGACCAACAGTTAGTTATCACTTCTCTGAAATAAAATCATCTTTTTCCTTTTCGCATATAATTTTGAAATCCTAACGTCAAGGCATGGTGATTGTCTTATTTATAATTATATTGGTCCATATGTATAAAGTTATCAGGGGGTACATTGCCAAAATTTGATTTCAACAGAAAGGTTAAATCAATATTTACAGATTTCTAATACTAATATTTGCCCTATGTGCTACGCATTAGTTACTTGATTGAATGGATGATTTTCGTGGTGATCCCTGTTAGGAAAAATACAAAAAGGAAATTAGAAATACTGATGGAATTGTATAAATAAAATAATGGAGGGAAATATTACAATAAATAGAGTAACATTAAAATTAGAGGAAATGGTTTTTGAGGTAGTAACGATATTAAAAGGAATCGAGGCATGTGCTGCACAAGATATAATGGTTGAAAGTAGCTCACTAGCATCTCGTCACTATTTTATACAAATTAAGGATGTTCATAATTCTATCACCAAACTAGAATGAAGAGCTAAAATATCTGAGTTGCCAAAAACTAAACTCTTGAAACAAAGATGAGAGAAACTTATAGTGAAGAAAAAATTCTCAAATTTTTGGGTGTGAAGAATAAGGAGGAGAAGACCCCCTTATATAATACTAAAATGGGGGAGGTTTCAAATTCTTAATTAATTTTGTATTTAACACAAATAATGTTACAATAGTCATGAATGAATTTGTAATCACAAATTGATTATGAAATTGAACAAATTCAAATTAACTATAGAATTGACTAGACTTGAAACCTATAATTTGTTGTTACAATTTCATTCAAGTTGAATATAATGCTTTAATATATTAATTTAATATAATGCCACAATTTGACTTACAGCACGACTTGGCAATTTAGCCACAGTTTGAGTCACAGCAGCACTTGGCCCTTCAGTCATAGTCGAGCCCACATCTTGATTTCCAATAGATACAGTTTGGCTCACATCCATGTTAGTTGATTCGATTGCCATTTCTGAAATATCAAATAACTTGCGTTAATTTCTAAATTATGCTATTTTTTCAAATAACTTTAAAATTATATTGTTTTCACAATTATGAAAATATGCTAATTTTTCACTTGAAAAATATGTTTTTTTTTCCAAAAACATTTGAAAATTATGCTTATTTTTCTTTTAAAAAATCCCAATAATTGAATATCAATCTACAAATAATTTACAAGGAAGATTTGAGGGGTCTAAGCCCATTCTTAACAAGTCCAGCCTCATTATGAAATATTCAGTCTTCAAGTTGGCTGGAGGGCTCACAAATGGTTCAACTTAAAACTCAGCCTTCTAGACAGAACTTCTCTGTATCGTAACTTTTGGTTTCTAAGATTTTATAAATTTTGTGGAGAACATTATTGAAACAAAGAGAAGAGAGAAACTTAGAGTGAAAAAAGAACTCTCAATTTTTTTGGTGTGAATTATTAACAAGGAGAACACCTCATTATATAGTACTATGATGAGGGATGTTTTAAATTTTTAATTACTTTTGTATTTAACACAAATAATGTTACAGTAGCCATGAATGAATTTGTAACCACGAATTGATTATAGAATTGAACTAATTCAAATACAAATTAACTATAGAATTGACTAGACTTGAAACTTATGAATTGCCGTGACAATTTCATTCAACTTGAGTATATTAATTTAATATATTATTTTCTAACCATCCCTGACATATATGACCAGTATTCTAAAAGCCCATCAAACCTCGGGGCTTAGGAAAAGGCCTCGCATTGCTCATAGGTGAGAGATGGATAATTAACCCTTATGTTCACCTCGTAAGAAATGCCTAAACAGAAAAAGGTGCATGTTTTCTTTTTAACAAGTAATATTTTCTCGTTTTAAAGTCAAACTCAACAATATGCTCAATTATTGTTAAACTTAAAAAGAAAATAAGTTTTAAAAAAAATTCAATCTATAAATATAGCTTTCTTTGCACGAATAAAGCATTACTAATTTGGGCTACTAGTGATTTTGAGAATTATGTTTTATTGAAAATTTAAGAAATTTCTATAAATTTTTAGATATGTATTATTCTGTTTATTTATTTATTGATCTATATTAATTAAAATTAAAATAAAGAAAATGTCTTATAACAAATAATTTTTTCCTTGACACGCCTAACGTCGTAAGATTTGAAACTCGAAACTTAACCTTCACGCCTGACGCCTTACGTGTTTTAGAAACTTGAACGTATCACTTTGGTACCAATCTTCATTCTATGCCCCCGACATTAGTTCCTTGACCGGTGAACTCCTTTAATAGCGCATTTAACATGTAGCCAAGCAAGATCCCGGATTCAAACTTGGCCTCAACTATCTTCGAAACAACTTGGCTTTGATTGCTCGTTGAAAACAAAAATTAAAATATTTTTCCTTTTAAGTATGAATAAAAAGATTAGCAAATAAACAAATAATGAAAGAACGAAAGTTCTTCCGACCCATTAATTTGACATGCTTACATGTTTTGAAATGTCCCTATAGTGAAGCACCTTGCTTGGTTTGAAAGTTCTTCCGACCCATTAATTTGACAGTTTTGCAACATTTTACCTAACCTTCCGTCAATGTGAATACGCTATAGGAAATTTAACCAAACTAGGAGTTGAAGATTATCTTATGTGCCCTAGCCACCACGTGCAATATTTTATTGCCCCTGTTTGGCTTCGTTAAAAAGTTGTCAAAAAATTCATTTGCTATCTGAATAAAGTCAAACACTATATTCAATCGTACATTCATAATTACTATCTGTTTATTATCCACTCATTTTTTGGATTTATTACTATTCCTCCTAAAAAGTTACTAATAATTTTACACATACAGATGCATTATCGTATGATCACTCTAATAATAACTACCTTTCTTAGAGTCGATCAATTTATTCCGCAACCCATCTTTGACAAATCTAATCCCCCATCGATATCATCGTGTATGTATCCAAAACCATCACCTGCCTAACGAAAGATCCAAAATGAATGAATAAAGGTATCGGCCTTCTAGTTTCTCTTCGACGCCCCCAAGAAACCAAATCATAGTAGCTTTTCCCTTCCGGTTCTACTTTTCTTTTCCAAGTGGATTAGGTTAGATGAAGACTGAAGATGAAAGTTCTTCACCAATTTGGATACGTAGAATTGACTGGGTCAATTTAGATGGCCACTTACTTTTGAGTTGGAATGATCATCTAATTGTATCATAGAAGAATTTGTAGAAGAAAGGGAAGTAAGTGACAATTTATTTCCTTATTTTTCTTTTCCTATCAAAATAAAACATAAAATATCTTCACTAATTATACTCATACCCTCGTTTGCCTTATTTTTCTTCTAAATTCAAACTCGTCGATATTTTTCTCATTCTAAAATTAAAAATGCGCACTCAATTGAAAGATTCGGGTGGAAGATTGGATAGCACGTGTACGTGTACAAATGGTCAACTCCATGAGTTGAATACACCACTTAGCTCCAAAAATGAAAAATTCGAATGATTTCGACGGTATTAAGAGTGATAGTCAATTTCTGCAAAACAATCATTAAACATTTTTTCCATCTTGGTATAATTTAATTGTGTAGTCATAGTGATTTATTTTTTCTTTCTTGCAGCTTATCATGAATTTAAGTTCCGTGGCCTTATTCACTATAATTGATAGGGACATTTCTAGATAATAATCAAAAACCAATTTTGCTTTCTCCATGTAGCTTTTTCTTAAAATTCACGATATATGTCGATGTCAATTAATCATTTTCTTCCACTATCCTTCTGTTCAACGTACGTAGTGACAAAGACTGTCCAATTTCTCTCTCCCGTCTCTATTGCTTTTAGTGTGTCGAGATGTTTTTTTATTGTTTGTCATTATTTCTTTAGTAGTTTGATTGCATCGCATGTTCTCTATTTTTATACACTTATCTACAAGTTTATAAATAAAATAAAAATATTTAAAATTGATAATTATTTTCAAACATATCCATAAATGCTGACACTCACTCTAGTACAAAATTCAACACGAGGGAGAAACAAAAATGATCTCCTACCCATAGTGGGTATGAGTTATGTTGTCCACCGTTGACGTGAGCCTACAATTTTGAATTGTCAAAAACTTTATGCTTGATCGCTACGTCAGCGATGAATATGTTTTATCCTATTCATCATGGATAGAAGATCATTTCTAGATAGAGAAATAATAATTGAACCTGCAATATTGAAAAAACTCACGAAATTCCCGAGCAAAAGTAACCCATCACGGAAAATATATATAATTTTCATTGAAGTAATATTTGATAGATCAACAATAAAAAATTTATCCTATCATACCAAATGCTCAATTATTTCTTTCAAAGATGTGTATGTACCAACAATCATTACAGCAACACCTATTACTACAATACCTATAATGAACATCATTTCAAATCCAACTCTCTGATGAATGCCAGAAATCTTCAAATAGCACAAGCA